AGATGTTAAAACATAATTATGAAATGCTAAGTAATAATTATGAGATGTCAAAACATATAATTCCGAGATGGCTAAAACATAATTATGAGATGATACAAATAATTGTGAAATGCTAAGACAAAATTTTGAGATGCTAAGACATAATTGCTAATATGCTATTAGTGCTTAGTGTATGTTTAGTTGATGTTTTTCTTAGTTCATATCTTAGATCTTATTACTGTTTTTCTTATACATTTTATTGTTGGATGTAACTGGGACCCCGTGTACATAATTTCGCTCCACCACATGTACCACATGAGGTGCGAATGACAATAAAGAATCTCTGACTCTGACTCTGACTCTGACTCTGACTCTGACTCTGACTCCGAATGATAACTATAAAATGCTAAAAAAAAATAATGAAAGGTTAATTAATAATTGTGAGATGCTAAGTAATAATTATGAGATGCTAAAACATGAGTTGCTAAAACATAATTACGAAATGCTAAGTCATAATTATGAGATGCTAAGTAATAATTATGAGATGCTACATAATAATTATAAGCTGCTAAGTAATAATTATGAGATGCTAAGTAATAATTTTGAGATGCTAAGTAATAATTATGAGTTGCTAAAACATAATTATGAAATGTTAAGTCATAATTATGAGATGCTAAGTAATAATTATAAGCTGCTAAGTAATAATTTTGAGATGCTAAGTAATAATCATGAGACGCTAAAACATAATTACGAGATGCCAAGTCATAATACTCACCTGCTTCTACAAGTGTGCAGTGGAGAGCATCCTGTGCTCCAGCATCAATGTGTGGCATGGAGGCTGCACAGCTGCAGAAAGAAAAGCTTTGCAAAGAGTGGTGAAGGCTGCACAGAAGTCTGTTGGAGTCAGTCTCCCCACCATCACAGACATCTACACCTCCAGATGCAGGAAGAGGGCCACCTGCATCATGAAGGACCCCACTCACCCAGCACACACACTTTTTGTCCCACTCCCCTTAGGAGGGAGGTTGAGGAGCATTAAGTGTAGAACCACTAGACTGAGGAACAGCTTCTACCCTGAGGCTGTTAGACTCATGAATCTTTAACCAGAATAATCACTGTGAAAAATCATATCATGTTGCTGCTGATCTGTTTCATGTTGCTGCTGATCTGTTTCATGTTGCTGCTGATCTGTTTCATGTTGCTGCTGATCTGTTTCATGTTGCTGCTGGTCTGTTTCATGTTGCTGCTGATCTGTTTCATGTTGATGTGTTCATGCGTGCTCATCTGCTCGCACAGTCTCATGCGCATGTTCGTGCTGCTGTTCGACGTAATGTTTTTATGCTATTAGTGCTTAGTGTATTTTTAGTTGATGTTTTTCTTAGTTCATATCTTAGATGTTATCATTGTTTTTCTTTTACATTTTTATTGTTGGATCGAACTGGGACCCTGTGTGATTTTGTTCCACCACATGTACCACATGTGGTGGAACGACAATAAAGAATCTCTGACTCTCTGACTCTTAGTATGCAGACCTCATTTAAAAATGAGAACACCCAAGTAAATTAATAAAGATAAATAATCCTGGGTTTTTAAATGCTACTTACCGAGTAACAAAAGTTCAGTCATCAGATTCTCCTAAATCAAACACAGTTCACAGGAACAGTGGCAGACTGTAGCTGAGATGTAGACGCTAAATTAAGATTTGTTTTTCTCTTCGTCTCGTTGTTTTTGGTTTTTTGTATAACTCTTCTGGGAATTATAGATGTTGGTCAGTTAACGAGGGAAAAAAAAGAATAATCTTCTTGCACCAAGCTGCGTTTAGACCTGCTCAAAATAGAAAAAATATATTTTTAGCTGCTTTATTTTAAAGCAAGCTGTAGTATTTATCCTTTATGTAAATGTCCTTACTCATATAGTAACAGAAAATCTTGAATCATCCTTTATTTCTTTTTTATTTGTTTCCAGACAGCAGACCTTTGCATGACTATTTAAAGTGGGTTTGTCTGATATTTTGTTCTGCTTTAATAATTAAAAAGTAGGTTTTAATAAATAGTTAAAAATAGTTAATTAAATTACTTCACCTGCCTCAGTTTTTTTTTAAGTAAATGTACTCTGACTGACATCTCTTTTAAAGTGACCATGCACTTAAAGTACAAACTACTTCTGCTGCCTTTAGACTTCTGGGTAAATCTTTAAAAGCATTAATGGTTTTTGCCTTGCGGGGTACTCTGATAGCTAGAGCTGTCATCTTGGCTAAACTCCAACAGAGTTTAATGCCATCTATTCACTTTTTTTTATGTTGTATTTTTTGTACAAATCTACATTTTAATTTATGTTTTGATTTTTTTTTCTTTTATGTACTTTCAGCCCTATAAGTTACCACAATTTTCTGGTCGTACTTTCAACGTGAGCTTGTTAAAACGGACTTGTCAGAAGATTCACAAAGTTTCAAAGGTTAAAGGGAATCCCATTTAATCTTTGGCACATTCCTAGGACGATGCTGAATTATACAGCTTACCCTACTGTTGGCACCGAGGCCGAGACATCCGAACTCTTACATGATTGGAAGCTTTTAATCTGCTGAGATCAGACAGTCTTAAATACAAAGAATTAACACCCTACTCCACAGAAGCCTCAAAATAAATACACGTTATTTTCACTTTTCAACAGAAATATTATATTTGTTTTATAGAGTTATCGTCAAAAGAAAGAAAGAAAGAAAGAAAGAAAGAAAGAAAGAAAGAAAGAAA